GGAAGGTGCTAGAATCAGTCACCTTCGAAGGCTCTGATCATTTTAATATGCACCATAAGCATGTGGTTTCTTCTTTCCTCAGATGATCTGTTATTTCCCTTGAGCTGGGTCTGTGCTGAGGGCAGACGCCTGTGATCTCCATGTAATTGGCTCTTAGAGCCAGGCACCCAAATCAGCTCCTCTGGCCCTCACAGCCTGCACGTTGTAGAGCTAGGACATTAGTTATCCTTTGGAGTGTGTTAAGAGAGAAAAATGCTTTCTTCCTTCCCACATCCCCAGAGAGATGCACACACCCAAAGGCAGTAATTCACACAGGAGGATTTTTTTCACACACGGTCATGTACATACACACCGTGACCAACCTCCACCTAGAGAACCTTTGAATAAAACTGATGAAGAGCTCAAACTAGAGACACATGCCCATTAAATTCAAACCCTGTGCACCTGGAAGTGCTCAGGAATGGGGGATGGGGATTTGTGGCGGTTCCCAGGTGTGTGGCTCACTGGTGGTATGACCAGGAGTAAGTGTCCTTTAGACTCTTTGGGCCCCAGTGTCTTCATTTTTACAATTTCTATGTTGACGGATTCTTAGGTAAGAACAGTGGTTTTCAACCCCTGCTAGTACACATTACAATTATCTGGGGAACTAACAAATCAAACTATCACTTATGGTCCACACCAGACCAATTAAGTGGGATGATCTGGGGATGGGGCCCAGGAATCTGTATTTTTAAAGTTCCCAGGTGCACCCAAGGGTAGGAACCACTAGGTTGCAGTTTTTCCCACATCCCTTAAGTAGGATACTCTTCGTCATTTTTGGGGTGGAGTGCCCCACCTTCTTTGCCCTGCAGTCCCTGCCAGGCCAGCGGTCACTTTTGCAAAACTGCTGTGGGAGAGAATCCCACCCAGCAGCTGTTGGAAGATTCGCAACCAACACTCAGCTGCCAGAATGGCTTCCTGAAAATGGTTGCCGTCTTAGGCCAAGTGCATTTTCCAGGATGTGGAGTCTGGAATGGAGAAATNACTTATCCACCGGCCCATGCAGCAGGAGCTAAGCTGTTAGAATAAGTAGAAATGAACATACACAGGCTTTTCCACTCGCCCTTGTTTTGGCAATCTGCCTCTGGAGCGTTTGTCTGTGTGTCCTACTGCCTCTGACAGCATGTGCCCAACAGTGTGACCCCAGGTGGAGGCAGGATTTTGTTTCACATGCCTTGCTTAACCTCCGCACTGCGGCAAAAGCAGCTGGAACTCCCACCCTTCTAGCTCTGGAAGAATTAGAGGGTGGAGATGGGAGGAGTGTGGGATAGTAAAGATGTTCTGTGCACACCTAGCCCTGCATTTGCCTGTATTCACCTCTGCCCATCTTTCTGTTCCTGCATTTCTGACACCTATTTCTGCCCTCCTTCTCTCCCTCCTAGACTTCCTCCCCTTCTGACAGCTGCTTCTTTATCTTCCATGGCCTGTGGAGCAGTACGGGACATACCAGATTGCTAGAATAGGAGGTGGAAAGTGACTGAGGATTGGGATAGGTGCAGTGGCTTGGGTCTCTGGGAGCTTTGTGTGGTATCCAGGTGTCCTGAACATTTTCGGAATTTTATTTGAGGTGGCTCCACCCACAGCCTTTTCTGCTTAATAGTGAGGCATTCTAGAATGAGGTACTGCCCCAAGAGAGCATCTTAGTGTGAACTTGCAGAGATGGGCCCCAAAGATCCACAGACTGCTGGAGCTGGAAGGTGCATAGGGACACACAGGGTCAGAGAGAGCAAGTGGCTTGCCTGATGTCATCCAGCTGTTTAATGGTAAATTTAGACCAGAACTCAAGGTTTTAGATGTCCTGTCTCTTACCATATCTACCTTCTCTAGTCTTGCTTTTGTTTCACCCCCACATCTCCCTCCTGCCCATCCCCCTTACCCCAGGGCTGAAAGTGGCCCCCTGCTTAAATTAGCTGACCAGGCAGGTTCTGACTAGGCTTTGGCGGAGAAGTGAGGCACAGGCTCTGGCTGGCTTCAGGCATTGCAGTTCTTTCTGGACTTAGCACAGACTCCAGAGGGAGAAAGGGCTGAGGGATGGGTGCATTGAATGTTTTTTTGGAGGGAGAGGGGGTTCGTTAGGGACCTGCTTGCTGGGGACTCTAGGCATGATATTGGGGGGCTGCTTGCCTAATAAACTCTTGGTCAGGGGTTGGGGTTCGTGGGACCTGCTTGTGACCAACCCACAGGTTTAAGGTTTGGGGAAAGCTGCTTGCTGATGTGCCCGAACTGCAGGGTTTGGGAAACAGGGCTTCAGGGGTCTGTTTAAGATGGATCTCAGATGAAAATCGGGAGCCTGCTTGCTGAAAGACTCTCAGTGCAGGGTTGAGGGGTGAGGGTCCCGCTTGTAGTTGCATTCTGTCTTTGGAATTGGGTCCTGCTTGCTGATGCATCCTCGGTTGAAAAGTGGGGGACTGCTTGCTGGGAACGACCCTCAGCAGAGGGAAGGGTTGGAGTGGGACCTGCTTGCTGACCAACCTGGGGCTGTTATCCAACAATGTGCTTTTCCGCCCCCAGGAGGACGAGGAAGGGGATGAGAATAAGGCTCGAGGGAACTGGTCCAGCAAACTGGACTTCATCCTGTCCATGGTGGGGTACGCAGTGGGGCTGGGCAATGTCTGGAGGTTTCCCTACCTGGCCTTCCAGAACGGGGGAGGTATGGCTTTTCCGGTCTTTCCGTCTGCGGTGCTGTGGGGGCGGGCACTTGGGGGTTGGGGGGAAGGGACCAGAGCCCCTGGAGGAGCCAGAAGGGGAGGCAGCCTCCTCACACTCCAGCCCCATCCCCTGTAGGCGACAGGGTTAAGCCGGAGGGCAGGAGCTCCTGTAACTAGTTGGCACTAGATCCAGGAGGCTTTTATCTGGAGATGGAGCCCAGGGAGGAGGTGGGCCCTCATGATCTTCCACCGGTCCTGCATGGGGGGCTGGGTTCTGAGCCACGTGGGCACTGATGCAGGGAAGTTCAAACTCTAATTAATCCAACAAGTATTCAGGTAGGACCGCACTCCACACACCTGTGTGACTTTAGAACCAGTAGCTGTGTGGCCCTGGACACCGAATTAAGGACGTTGTAAGATTATAACCTGGAAACCCTAGCCTACAAGGGAGGCCTTGGGAACGGGCAGTGGGTGGTGTTGAACGCTGGCTGCAGGTGAACTGGGAGGTGTGAGCGGAGGAGGCTGGGGATTGTGCTCTGGAAAACCTCTCAGAGGTACCCCCACACATACATCCTCTTGGGTACCGGAAAGGTATATTTTGACTGGCAAAATCGTTCAGCGAATACAGGTTTCGTTTCATTTGCCCTACCTGGGTGGGAGAAGCTCCATTCGAAGGAAAACAGTTTCTGAAATGGTGAGAACGCCAGTTTGCCATGCACCAGCTGCCAGGCCTCCAGGATCCGTTGTACCTGTTATGTGCCCACAAAGAAGGGACCTGACACATCCAAGGTCCCCTTTGTTTGCCCTCCTGATGGCCAGCGGCTGCCCCCACATTGGCTGACAAGCTGCCCTCTAGGAATAGGCATTTGTGCCTAGAACTCCCTCCCACAGCTTCTCAACTGCACCAAAGAGACCAGAAATGTGCCCTTCACCCCATCAGGTTAGGCAGCTTAAGGGTTTTTAAAAATTATTTATTTTTATTTATTTATTATTATTTTGTCTGTTGGGTGGGCTCCAGGAGGAATTTGTTGCATAGGGACAGTGGACAAGTGCTATGCCACAGGACAATTAAAGGGGGGTGGGGGAGTGTTAATGTCCCCTCCCCCCAACTCCAAATTAGGACACATTGACAAGTACTTATGAGGTCCACAGAGCATTTGCTATCACAGGTGCCCTGGAAACTGAAGAATGTGTGCTGGCCACCCAAATGTGGGCAGCACAGCTAGATTCCAGCTTGGTTTTCCGCAGGGAGTCCCTAGGCTAGGGTGCAGGAACTGGGCAGAAGGTGCTGTGACAAGACTTCCAGTGACCCGACCGGGTTGGTACACAGGATCGGG